TCTCCAAGCAAGGAAAAACAAGCATCTTTTATTTCAGATCAGGAATGAATATACAAAAGAGAACTTGCATCATCACATGTAGAGGTGGGTATAAGCTCGCTCAAGCATAGTTTGAAAACATGCTTTCACATACATTGCATGTTATGCTAATAAGGCTTAGCTCCTCCTGGGGCAGAGACATTAACATTAAAATGAAGCAAGATAACTTTTGGGCATTTCTCAGCCCATCTGCACAAAAGTTGCTCTTGCAGTGGGGTTTGGACAGGTTCTGGGCAGTTGGTGATTGTATCTCTTAACTTCACTAAAAAAAACTTTGAGAAACAGTTAGGTGCTTTTGATACCTCCTTTGAGATACTCGGGCAGTTAGGTGGTGACAGAATTATTTATGTCAAGGTGATGGAGGCCCAAGACCTCAGTAGAAAGCTTCATATATTTAACACAGACCAAAGTCAACTAGCCTGAAGATTTTGTGTTCCAAGCTACTTTCTGCGTGGGGTTCAGTTAATGGACTCTCACATATCAAAGAGCTTATTTAAAAACTTAAGGTGATAAAAATATGCCTGAGGATTTATTTCCAGAGGAGATGAGAAACTGCTCTGATCTACACTAATTGAGTCAGTGTTATTGAAGCTAGGATGACATCCCTTCTAACTGGATCCAAACATTCAAAAATGAGCACACCTATATTCCTCAATGAGTATGGATCTATTACTTTATAAAATTCTATCTAATTTTACCAAAACTTAACAGCAGCTAAATGATTCACAAATTTTATTTTTCAGACCAATATTTTCCACGGATATCAGGCAGGCTCTAGACAAAAATCTGCATCTGTCCATGGTAGAATTTGGCAAGAGAAACTATTAGTTTACTTGTAGCCTTAGTTGATATTTTCTCAGTATTCATTCTCTGTGCAGGGCATGGTTTCCCTGGAACCTCAGGGAGACCTAAAAATACTCAGTTAATAGACCATTCAAAGAAACTTGTGAAACTTGTTATCCTTCAGAACTCAAGCTATTTGGTGGATGTGATAACTCAAGATCATATTAAATAAGTACATTTTGTCCCAGGTTTATTTAGATTCTGGAAACTCATTTCCTCAATCTAGTGGAGAGTGGAAAGTGTGGTTTTAATGTCAGCCTTTTCAGAGTCATGGCAAACACATTTGACATTTTCAAGCTACCTCAGAATTTATGGAATTACATATGACATCTCATTTTTTAATATTCTCAGTTATTTAGCGTTTAAAATAACAGGCAAGTCTATCATGGCCTTAAAATGCCATTAGCAAGATGAATATCAAGGATGTCTTACACAGGCATGTCTTTAAGCAATGAGATATGCAAATAGATACAACAAAAGAAAATCTACGTGCAAAAGTAAGGCCATGTGGCTATTTTACCTTCAGAGTATTGTTGAATCCCTAGCAATCATGGTGAATAGGGAAGTATTTGAAATTGTTCCTATTTGCCTGTAGATATTTCTCCATTATATTCTAGTATTTAATGTTAAGGATGAATAATAGGTCAAGGTTTAAAAGCTCAAAATAGATTTCCAATTATACACTCCTCATCTCAGAAGAGGCAGATCCAATAAGAATGATCTTCTGACGAAAAAGCTAACATGATCCAGTGGGAAAACACAGATTTGCTTTGTGTTAGACCCTCATTTTTTAACTTATTATTTAATGATCACATGTCATTTTAGATGAGTTGTTTGCCAGTGCCTCCATAATGAGGAAGAAAAGGACAAAACTTTTTTTATAAACATATGATACAGTTTTATTATCCTGATGAGGAGCTACCAGAAATAACTACCATTCTAGTGAATTATTGCCTGAAAGCAAGTCCACAGATCCTTCTAAAATTATTATTATGGGTGGGCATTACACTATTTTTCAGTGACAATTTAAAATCTAATTTGTAGCATGTTTTTAAAGGGACTATCTACAAACTTGATGAAAGACCCACCCACTTAATTTGAAGAGTCCCTGGGAGTACCTCACAAGTGCTGAATATTATGTGTTCACTCTGTCCCCCTCAGGACACTGCCATCACAATGTTATGATCTGCTGTTCCTATCTCTTCCCTGGAATCTGATGTTCCTTCTGCCTCTAATAGTCCCTACTGTTTAGGGTGACCATATGTTAGATCATCCAAACTAGGACACTTTTGACAATGAAAGGTAGAACTATTACTAATTACACAAGGGCAACTGGTATTAACTAGACTAGTTATGAGCAAATATACATATGGTCACCATTCCAAGGTTCTTTCCATTAGAGCCATAATGCTCCTAAGCCACAAGATGTTTTACAAAAATGTAGGTATCATGCTTTGTTACCGGCACCCCAAAACTGTACCATTGGTGTCCCAGCTGACAGCAACTACTTAAGCTTTGTCTTGCAACAGATCACTTCCAAAGATCAGACCTAAGTTCAGGGAATCAGGCTGGGGAAACAATCCCTGGACAGATATCACACTTCCCAGGGACTCAGAGTGATAACAAATTCTTAAATTTGTTTTCAATACAGATATATCTGTAACCAGAGGCACACTGAACTCGGTTATAATAACAGGAGACCAGGGGCTAATGAGAGAGTTTGATGATAAGGAATCTTTATGAAAACTTGTGGTGGAGGTTAGGAACAGTGAGATCTGATGTCTAATTAGGGTTTTCTTTTTATCTTTTCTGTAGTGTCTTTCCCTTATGTGTATTTTCCTCAAATCTTCAGTTATTAAACAGAAGCCCAGAGCTAGCTGTAGTTCAGGGAATGAAGGGAAGGTAAATCCATGCATGGGATGAAACAAACTGGACAAAGAACTGCATCAACATTGATGACATTGAAGAACAGGAAGAAATGACTAGCATTGAAGCATAAATAGTGGTCTGGAACAAGAGATCATCAGAGGGATCTACAACCAGGAGTCTCTGAAGAGACTGCAGGTATTCTATCTCCCTCTGCATGGCACATTGTTCTTTCCTAAGAAAGTCAACTAAAGGTTAAAAATTGCTGGTCTCTCTATTCCCTAAGTATTTTCCAAAGAAGGACCAATCTGCAAAATAGTGGTTCCACTTTCTGGGCAGTTGTACAATGACCAATACTGAATCCAAGGTCAGAAAACTGAATCAGTGAAACAACTCTGATGCCATTTTTAAAAAATCTTATTTTGGATAAACTGAGTACTAGCCAGCTTCTCATTAACTATTATGATGAAAGAAAGTAACGCAAAGGAAAAACTCAAAAAATAATATATATGACCTTTCCAGAAAAGAAATTCCCAAGAAATTCACCTTGGGAAGAAATATATTTGATATAAAAGTAGGCTGTGAACCTGGACAAAATCTCTACCGTGGTTTGTCAATGATATCTTTCACGACCTCCTTGAGTATGCTGACAGCTTCTGGTTTAAGACAAATTTTGGCTCAGTTTATCCAAATCTAATAGCTTTATACTATATTGGAGAAACTACATCTTAAAACATTTTATCCCCCATATAGTTTGAGAAAGCATTCATTCCAAGAGGAAGTCAGAAGTCATTTAGGTCTTTTGTTGTTGTTTTTTTTTTTAAGCTAGATAAAGGATCTGGAACTTGTGGTTCTTTAAATCTTGGGAGACATTTTCAGAAAATAATTACCAGACAGAGCTAAAAGATTGATGCAAGGAAACAGAGATAGATGTAGAATGACAATGAAATAAAGGAACCGTTCAACTTCCCTCTTTGCAGTATGGTGTTCTATATAATGCTACCTGCTGCCTCACTTCTGAACTATACAGAGAAAAATGGATATTTTACTTTACAGTTAAAAGTGAACAAGATTAAAAACAATTTTAAAGGGTAAAATAGAAAATCAAGAATATTTTAAAATCTAAGTAAAAATTAACTAAATAACGTGTGATTTTAATTAGCATTAAAAAGCTAAAGCAATTGACCAGATATAAAAGAATAAAGCCAAAAGTTTTACAGTAAAATTTTCTAAAATTCTAAAAGAAACATAAGCCAAACATCATAAAATTTAAAATAAAAAATTCTGAAGTTAATACAGTAGCCAGTAAAGAAGAAAAAGAGATGTAATATTGATATAAACATTAAAATCTAACATGGAAATTTGAAGTGTAAAATTCAGAACAAGAAGAAATAAAATGATAAAGGCAATTTTTTTTAAAAGCTTAAGGTTACCATAACAGAGAAAAGAAATATAAATCCCAGATGAAAATCAAATGTAAAAACCATCTAGAAGGTAGATCCAGCATTCCCTAATAACAGAGTCCTCTTGGATCAGCAACAGATTTCACAGATGGAAAGCCACTAGAACACAGGAAAAAATATAGCTCTACCTTTATCAGCAGTATTTGACCCAGTACTTGTTTACATTTAATTTTCAAACAGCTTTCGAAATCAGTTATTTGGTTCCAAGTCTAAAGCAGTTAGATCCCACATATCGGAAGGTCTTTGGAAAGATGACTGCCAAAGTAGATATGTTAAAAGTAGAAAAGAATAATAATTTAATGCCTCATAGTTAGAGATGAACAAAAAGTTATAAAAATAAGACTATTCTAGAACCAGAAGTTTAATAGCATGTAACTAGCTAGACAGAGGACAATTAGCATTACATATATGAATAGACTCCAAGGAAACAAATTATTTTAGTAATTACAGTATTGGAAATTCATAATTTATATTGTTTTAAAAATCTGAAACCAGGTTTCATTCTGTCTTGTAAAGAAAGTAAAAAAGTGTTAAATTAGTTTTGGAAATAATCTTATCAAAAAAAAATTTTTAAGTTTTGATTCTAGTGTAAATTCTCCTGTCTGGAAATCTCTCTCCATATTACACTATCCCTCTACTTGCCCTCACAATCAAGCTCTCAACAACGACAAGAACAGACTACAATCATTGACTCCTAAAACACTGAAATTTTTTTATTTAGTTTCACTATGCACTGTACTCAAAAAGAATATTTTAGAGCTTGAGAGCTTTGAGAGATGAATTTGACACAGCAGCAAGAACCTATCTACTTGACTCTTGGGTCTCCCTAACTGATTTCCACATTGTGATTATAAAAATTTCCTGTCCTTTTCCTGTTTACATGTTAAAAACTTTGCTTCTCAGTAGGTGTTTTACTGCTTCCTTCACATCCTTGTTCCTAAGACTGTAGATTACAGGGTTCATCATAGGAGTAACAACACCATAGAACATGGATATAAGTTTGTCAGTAGCATCCATGTCGTCTGAATTAAGTGTCTCTTTCGACTTGGGCTTCATGTACATGAAGAGAATGGTTCCGTAGAATATTATCACCACAGTCAGGTGGGCTGAGCAGGTAGAGAAGACTTTGCTTCTCCCCTCAGAAGACCGAATTTTGAGGATGCTGACAACGATTAATGTGTAAGACATAATGATTAATAATAGTGGTGTCAGTATAAACAATGTTGTGGCCACAAGCATGATGAACTCATTGCCTGAGATGTCAGCACAGGCCAATTTCATGACAGCCAGAATTTCACAAGAGAAATGATTGATGACGTTATTCCTACAGAAAGGCAATTGTACTACAAACACAGTTTGTACTGCAGAGTTGACAACTCCTATGATCCAGGACCCAGCTGCCATGGAAACATAGGAATCCTTGCTCATGATGACAGAATATCTCAGAGGGTTGCAGATAGCCACATACCGGTCAAAGGCCATCATGCCCAGGAGCACACACTCTGTTGTCCCCATGGCCAAGCCGAGGAACATCTGCACTGCACAGCCAGTAAAAGAGATGGTCTTTCTTTCTGAAAGAAAGCTCACCAGCGTGGAGGGAATGGAGGTGGTGGTGTAGCAGATGTCCAAGATGGAGAGGTTCCCCAGGAAGAAGTACATAGGGGTGTGAAGTTGGGAGTCCAAGACGCTGATTAAAATAAGGGTGCCATTGCCCAGAAGGATGACCACATACATTATTAAGATGAGCACAAAAAAGAGCAGCTCAAGCCTTGGGTAACCAGAAAGCCCCTTCAGAAAAAATTCCACCAGAATGGTTTGGTTTTCCCGTTGCATTTTACTGTTTCTCTTTTACCTGTAAGACATCAGCGTATGTTAAAACAATGTATTCTACTATGATTACTTTCAACTGTGTACCAATGCACAAGTGCCATATACTCCCAGAGGAAAAAAAGTAAAAAAAGAAAAGATCAAACAAAGAGAAGAAGTAAAGAAAAGTGGACTGAACAGAGGGAGAAGGTATGACTGGAGAAAGGGAAGGGAAGTGGAAACTAACATGTTTCAAGCTACACTCGATATGCTACGTAATTCATTTAATCTCATCCCAGTTCTAGGAGAGAGGCATTATTGTCCACATTTTACAGATAGATAAATGAAAGCAGAAATCTTAAGGAAACTTGACTAAAGGTATATATACAGCAGAGCTAAGATTCAAACCTAAATGTTCCTTGCTGAAGCCTGATCTTTTTGTCATAGTTGTCATCACATCTGTTAACTAGAGATTATAATAAAAATGAGTATTGTGTTATGTGTAACTAAACAATAAACCATTTTCGTTGGCTACAGACCAGCACACAATAGATAATGATCTCGCCACTTCTTGAAATTACTCTGTTATGCTTATTATCGGTCTTGCCCAGTAGCATGTCAACTTTATACAGGCAGGTACTCTTTCTTCTTCACTGCCACAGTCCCGGTACGATAGAGGGGACAGAGTGACTGATGTTCAAAAATATTTGTTGAATAAATGAATAAAATCAATGACAAAATAATGACTAACATTTCTTATTCTGTGCCAATCCTTTACTAATTGTTTTTGTGTGTGTGTGCATTACCTAATTTAGTCTGAAGAGCAACCTATTAGGCAATTACTGTTATCATTAACATCATCTTCCTCACCATATAGAGGAGGATAATAAGGCACAGAAAAGTTAAGTAATGGGCTCATGGTGAAGGTCATATAGCTAAAGAAACAGTAGGGCCAGGACTTAAGCCCAAGCCATATGGCTGCAGAGTACAAACTCTTAATTGTTCATTTTGCAAAGAACTTGTCTCACAGGCTACAATACCTTGTCATCTAATTGACAGTACTCATATTTCGAAAGAAATATCAGACCAAAAAAGGTGATTGGTCAGAAAGAAGCAAGATTTCAACATGACGATTTGAGAGCAGTTGATTTTGATACTTTATATTTTGCTAGGAAATTATTCATAGAATGACAACAAATGTGTTGTCATGGATTTCCATTTAATCCTTATAATTCTGTGGTCTCCCTTATATGAGAAATTCTAGCTCCTTTTTCATTACTATTCTCAACTGATTTTTTTTCTTTTTAGTGTCACAAGGGGGTTTCCCGTATTATAAGTCTTCTCCCCCCCCCCCCAAAAAAAAAGCTTTTGGATAGATTATCCTTTGCACATTTTTTACAGTTTCTTTTATGAGAGTATTCAGTCCATTCACTTTAGAATATAACTGTCAATGTACTTCATTTTTTTCTTTCCATACATTTTATTTTTGTTACTTACTTATCTTGCATTACTGCATTCTTGTTTTTCCCACTTACTTATTTTTTCTGGTTAAGTTGTCAGTCACTATTTGTTTTCATTAACTTGAGCACTTTACTCAGTTTTTCCATTCCAAAATTGGTTACCTTCTCATTCTCTACTCTCATAATTTGACTTATAGGACCCAGCCATTTGCTCATAAAGAGTAACTATTTTTTCCACTAGAGAGCTGTCTAATCTCCTAAATTATCCCTCAAACACTAAATGAAGATAGAACTACAAGAGTACCTTTATTCTTCCATTTTTATCCCCACCCCCAAATCCCCAAATGTTACTGGGATAATTTAGAAGTGTTTATACTTTCCTTATAATATGTCTTGTTGAGAATTCTTCTTCAACCCTTACATTATACAAGCTTGGACGGTCAGTCTTTATTTATTTATCATTATATCTACCTCTGTATATATCTACTTATTGATCATCATTGGTATCTCTCTCTTCTCATTCTCTTTTATTCTCTTGAGAACTGTATTTTACTTTATCTTTGGTTAGGTTAGAGTATATCTGAAGAATTTTCCAAAGATGAAAATGTGAGTAATATATTATCTGAATTCTTATAGATCATCAAATATCTTCTTTTTTATTTATTTATTTAAGTGCATAACTTTTGACCTACATCTAAGAATATATGCTAGGGAAATAATATACAAGATTATAAATAATATACAATATATAGTTATATATATTATATATAACAAATATATGTACAATACATAACATATAAATATATGTCAAAATATATATTAGTTATATACACACATATGTATACATAAAGTATGATTTTTATTGTTAATTGATATTCTTTATTCTATTTGATACTTTGAAGTTTATATACATAAATGTACATACATATATTAGCAGAAACGGTGTTTAAAAAACTCAGTGACCATAATCCCAGGGACTTTCCAAACAGAGAAATTTCCTAACACCTCTTGCTGTGACCTATTCTTTAGGTGACTATACACTGATAGCTCATAGGGACAAGACATGGTTTCACCTCTAATGACCTCACCATCTAAGGATGAGGAAACAGGTACTGCTATACATTCTCAGTGAACATAAATTGGTACATCTCCTGTGGAGGACAATTTTGCAATAATTATCAAAATCAAAAATGCATACACATAACTTTGACCACAGGTTTACTTCAAGGTAATTATCACACAGTCATGCTGGCACATGTGTAAAGTGATTTATATACAAATTGATTCACTAAAGTATTGTTTGTAACAGCAGAGTGAAAACAATTTAAATTTCCATGACAAGAGGACATATAAAAATAATGGAATATGGGCCGGCCCCGTGGCTTGGTGGTTAAGTGCGCGTGCTCCGATGCTGGTGGCCAAGGTTTGGATCCCGGGCGTGCACCGAGGCACCAGTTCTCCGTCCATCCTGAGGCCGAGTCCCACATACAGCAACTAGAGGGATGTGCAGCTATGACATGCAACTATCTACTGGGGCTTTGGGGGGAAAAAATAAATAAAATCTTTAAATAATAATAATAATAATGGAATACTATTCTGCTGTTAAAAACAATAAGGAGCATTTTGTGAATTGATATAGAAAGATCTTCAAGAAATATTCAGTGGAAAATGTTCAGAACAGATTATATGGCACACTAAGATTTGTGTAAAAAAGATTATATGTGTATGTGTCAGTATGTATATATATACATACATACCATTTTGCTCCCACATAGAATATCTCTTGAAAAATAAACAAGATTAGTTTGTTATCTCCAGGAAAGGAAATGGATAACTTATTCGCAGGAATGGAAGATAGGCTGTTTGCACTATATCATTTAGTACATTTTTAAAACTTTGAACCTTGTGAATATATTACCTATTTATAAAATAAATAACATTTAAGCTAAAGAGTTCTTGCCTGTGAGATTCACAACCTTTCTCCTTTCACTTTTCCAGTGGTACACTACATGAAACCATCCACTGCCACAGGACACAACCACATATGTTTGAAAATTGTTCTAACTTGTTCGGTATCACACACTAAATGGGAATTGCTGTAGATTAGCAGGTACTTTAAACAGTCACATTCTCAATCCTCAATATACTTTACATGGTATCATTAGGATTTCCAGGCCCGTGTCCAGCTTCCGTCCCACCATCAAGCTGTAAGCTATTCTTTGACCTGGTTATGGGTCTACCCTTCTACCTCATATCCTTTCTTCGCCATTCAATGTTTTACTGCTTTTATGAGCTAATAAAATTCCTAGAACAAAATTACAGCTCAATAAATGTTAGCTATTATTCTTGTTCCATTCTCAAGTCCAAAGAGCCTTCCCTCTTCAGAATCCCTTGTCTACCTAACTTTATGAGGTACTTTGCTCTAAATCTCAGGTCCATCTTCTCAATTTCAGCATACAGTAGGATCACTCCAAACCCAACCCTATTTCCCTATTCTAAACTTCTTGGTGATCTGGTGGTTAAGATTTGATGCTTTCATCTCCAGGGGCTAGGGTTTGCTTCCCAGTCAGGGAACCACACCACCCATCTGTCGGTTGTCATACTGTGGTGGCTGAGTGTTGTTGTGATGCTGAAAGTTATGCCACCAGTATTTCAAATACCAGCAGGGTCACCAGAATGGACAGGTTTGAACAGAGCTTCCAGACTAAGACAAACTAGAAAGAAGGACCTGGCCACTCACTTCCCAAAAAGTGACCCTGAAAACCCAACGAATAGCAGTGGAACATTGTCTGATACAGTGCCAGAAGGTGAGAGGATGGCACAAAAGACAAAGAAGGGTTCCACTTGGCTGTACACAGGGTCGCTAGGCGTTGGATTTAACTGGAGGGCACTAACAACAACAAAAACTTTTCTTATCCCCAGCTCTTAACATTCTACAGCTTTACATAAAATTTGCATTTTATAGAATTTTTCAGTTTTTCTGGGTTAAGGTGTAAACCATTTGAGATCCCAAAGGACATTAGGTACATGTGGAGTTCACTGAATAATGGAGGTTATATATACACCTGTGAAAGTCATCTTGCAAAAACCGTTGTCCCATGAGCTACCTGCATGCTACCCAATATTCTATCAATCATGTTCCATAATATAATCAAGAGCACAGGCTTTGGAAGTAGGCTTCATTCGAATGTCATCTCTGCCCCTTATTAACTACGTGACCTGAGAATGTTCCTGATCATCACCATCCCCAGCTATAGAATGAAGCTAAAGATGCACCTATACCGTATATTTGTTGATAAGATTAAATGAGATGGTGTATGTAATTCAATTAGCACAATAATGGTTCCCACTGTTAGTAGTTTCCTTTATGCCTCTCTTTTATGCTTCTTCCTTCTATTAAGAGTTTTGACATCTCTGAACCAGTCATCATTGTCTTTCTGTGAGGTCCGGTATATGTAGCTTAAAAGCTTAATCAGATCATACACAGTGTTCTGATAAATGTTTTATTATTTTCATATTATATTCATATTATTTTCATCTTGCGTACAAATCCTAATACACTTTATCACACTTACTGCAGTCTTTTGGATGCTAGCAAATTATGTGGTAAAAAGGAAAAATCACCCAAAGGATTCAATTTACTCCCTAAAAAAATAG